CCCCCAGGGTACTGCTGGAACGTACCCTGGTACTATCTAATATGCCGGACCGTACCTCGCTTACTCCCTACCGTACCCTGACTGTCCCTGTTCCGCCCACTACTGATGTCGCAAAATTTGAAATATACATACTGACCCACAGGCACTTGGAACGTCTCAATAAAAAAAATTAATGGTAAATAAACACGAAATGTAACAAAGTCTTAATGTTTCTCTACTCTATTTCGCCTATAATCACCTACAAATGCCAGTCAAATGCTCATCTGCAACACACAAGTACACCGCACGCCTGCCCTGTGCTGCGTGCACAAACAACAATCGAATGCGTTTTCTTTTCGCAATGTTTACGACATTTTCACGCATTTTCGTGCGAGATTTTTGAAAGATGGCTCCAAGTGTTGTGGTGGAACAGGAAAATTTGTATGATTATCTTAATGGGTTGGAAACTATAGACTCACTGACACTAATGTAGAAAGGGTCGGGAGGTGAAACGTAACAGGGTAAGGGTTACGAATATTTTGCGGGAACGGACCGGAAACAAGGAACGGGAGCATATAAAGCGGCGCGTTTCCTGCCGACAAGCGGTATGTATTACGACATCGGCTGAAAGTCAGGGTACGGTTTGGAGTAGGCGAGGTACGGTCCGGCATATTAAATAGTTACCAGGGTACGTTCCGGTATACCGGACCGTACCCAGGGTACGTTCCGGCAGTACACTGGGGGACATAGTTCCTATCAGCGTCAATGTGTCTCAGAAACCTGTTACAAGTGATACCAGAGGTGTGTCACTGTGTGATATTAGAACTAGAAGGAAATGAAATGATATATAGTAATTTGTTTAAATGAACTGGTTGAGGACATTGCTTATTGGGATGTCCCGTACATTCTAATTATTGATTTATTGTTTATATTCATGTTGTAGAGTGGTTTGGGAGAAATGAATTCCAGCCAAATAAGGCGCCGGAGACGTGTAAGAGTTGTGAAAAAGAATCTTAACCGCTCAGTAACTAGGCACTATAATAGGTCAGGCCGTACTGGGCAAGGAGGTAATTACAAATTACTAACTAACATATAATAATAACTACCAAAAATTATATGCTGCTAACATACGAATTGACAGCACTTAGATTCATGTTTCAGCTTATATTTAATTTTGTGTTTATGATAAATGCTTTGCTAGATAAACCAACAAGATTTTAATGATTTTATATATTTGTTAATTATATCAAGAGTGCATAATAGAGAAGAGTATGACACGGTTTTAACAGCGTTTTGCATAGTTTTCAACTTGTAAATATTCTATCAATATGTGAATAAATATATTCAAACTTTACCTTGTTTTCGTCTATGATTCTCCCTTAATCATATGACACTACCAATTTACCTGAAAATCGTATGTGTTCTTCAAAAAAGTTATTTGAATACGAACTTTGTTTATGGGATTAGTGTTCTATTTATTATGACGGTACGCTGGGGGCCGTAAGGAATCAGTTGCTAGCTAGCTTGGCGGAGCACATTTATTTGTGAGGCACGGCTGAACCTGGCACGCTGAATACCAAGTTCGATTGGCCTAATATCCCATACGGCCCAAAGTCCCGTCATAGACAACTAGAAACTCAATCCCATACAAAGTTTTGGTCTGAA